CCCCCCCTGAAAGCTTATTTATCAAAATTTAGCACTTGTGAAAGGCAACACTAGGGAAGTCAGAGGGAAATTGGGTTCAGTATTTTTCCACCACCTTTTATTTATTTATTTATTTATTAATACCATAGAGACAATCCTAAGATCTACTTTGATAACTTTTCTCTCTCTCATTCTACACAACCCCCAAAAAACAAACCAGTTGCCAATGGAGTTGATTTAGACCCATAGCGACCCCACGTGTGCAGAGTAGAACAGTACTCCATAGGTTTCCATGGCTGTGAACTTATGGAAGCAGAGCATCAGGCTTTTCTTCCAAAGTACCTCTGAGGTGGGTTTGAACCACTCTTGGTTCAGTTTGTAGCATTCCCTTACCTGTAGCACCATCCAGGGAGCTAATCTAACGAGCTCGTGTCTAATAAGAAAACAAGTAGCTGGAACTGACTTGTTCCTAAGGGTTAATGGCTTACAGGTAGAAATATTTTCTATATAGTGCAAAATTTCCAGTCATAAATTTATATTTTGAGGTTCTGATTTAGATGTTTTTATGTATAAAAATATAAGCACATTCTCTTGAATTTTTCCAACAATCTTTCCTTTGGGAGTTTTCAATTAAATTTAATATATTTTACAGTAAACAGAAGCTATAAGGATTCTAAGCGATGACACAGTTTTTTTGAATAGGACTTTTTTTTTTTTTTTCCTAAACCAAGTGAGCCAGCTCTCAGATCTAATGTTGAACTTTCTTATCCATACATTTTCTTTAGGTGAAAGTGCTTTTTAAGCTGAATTTGCAGCAACTCAAACTACTTTCATGTTCCACATCCTTTGGAAGTTGGAATATGTTAAAAATACACATTCAGACTAAACCAAGAAAAATAAAATGTAGGACCATAGAATTATGTAGTTGGAAGAATATATGGCATATTTGAATTTTTTTAAATTTATTTTTTTGCTTTAATGTAAGATGGAAAGGTTTAAACTTTACCCATAACTACAGAGGACTTCTATAAAAACCCAAATATAATTTATTATTGTAATTTTATCTGTTGTCCTTCCTCAACTTGAAGGCTATTTAAATATCATGTTTTTGGGATAACGTTTTGAAGGTTTATAATTTTGTCTTGACTGCTAACCAGAAGGCTGGCAGTTCAAACCCACCAGCCACTCCTCGGAAGGAAGATGGGAAAATCTACTTCCGTAGTGATACTGCCTTGGAAACCCAAGGAGGGGTCGCTATGAGTCGGGTCTGACTCAACAGTACATAACAACAACAACAACAACAATCCAGAAGAGTACGACATTAGTTTTGACCTTAACATTTGGTCAGTTTTTTACCTCTTAGTAAAAATTTCCATAAGGTTTTAAGATCATAATAAGAAGAGTTCTCCACTGGGGAGGATCAGGGCACCAGGGTGGATGGTGACTTAGCCTCTGCCCTTGGATGTAGAAATGCAGAAAATGACGTAGTCCAAAATGGTACCCAGTATCTTACGTTCTAGCTCTCTAGCCTAAAGCATTCAGAAACGTGTACTTCTTACATGCACCAGGATTTCCTTTCCTTTCAGCTTCTCTCAACTTGCAACACCTTCCTTACCTCTGCTTAGCCCTTCCTTCCCACCAGCCCCTGACTCCTCCCCCATCACCTGTCTATTCACATGCATCCTTCAAGAATTAACGAATGTCTTCTCCTCTGGGTCTTTTCCCCTGACCATATCATAGTTTGAGTTAGGCTTCTCTTGAGTGTGCCATTGCACGCTTTACCTTTCTGTATTCTAGAATCAGAGGTTAAACCACACAGCTATTGTCACCTCGGGTCCTCTCCCTTGCACAGGCCCTTTTCAAGGCCCTGAGAAGGGCACCAGGAATAGTTCTAGGGTTGCATGTTTTTGTTAAACTTACAAAAGTAAGATAAGTATATCTTTTTTTTTTTAAAGAGGGTGTCCAAAATTTTTTGAGCCTTAGGCCTTACAAAACCTGATCTCCTCCTACCTAGAATGTATCACAGTATTACTTAAAATGTTCTACTCATGAGCTTTGGATGAGCCGGATATATGCTTAAGGGTTTATGCATGTAGTAGCACAGCCATTAGCATATCATATTAAATTATTAACACTCTTTCTTTTCTTCTGTTCTGCTTTAGACTTCAGCTCTTAGGGAACAGGAAACAAGGCTTATTCATTGTTGCACCATAGTACTTGGCAAATAGTAAGCATTTGATAAATATTTAAGGCAAAATTGAATTCTCTATTATTTTTACTCTCATGCTCACTTTTCTCTATCCCAGACCTATGCTCAAAATAAAACATAGCACTTATAATATATGATATGCTTAATTCTTTTAACTGAGATCATTATTATCTCATCAAATCTGAGAGTGTTTCAGAAAAAAATCAGTTTATTCATCTTAAGAGAGAATATAGAAACCAGACTGCCTACTGAATTACATAATGCATATTTATGTCCTGATTATAATTATCTAAGCATTCCTCTAGGCAAATTCCCAGATATAAGTTATTTTCTTCATCATAAAATCTAATTTGCCAATATAAAATTACAAAGTTTTTGGCTGCTAAGTCTTAACAAGCTTACTAAAGAAGGAAAAACATAAGAAAGTGTCATGGCAATATTGGTATTTAGTTGTCTGAAAATTTTTATCTCACCACAACTAATCCAAGTGATAACATCTTAAACAAATGGAAAAATGCCATTAGGATGATATTCAAGGAAAGCCCCTCTGTCCTCTTATGAGTTAAAAATGTTATTGAATTTGAATTCCTTAGTAATAATTTACATGAAACATTACATTTCAATTAATGCTGATTTAAAAAAAATCATGTGTAGCTGGTTTTATAGAACAAGTTGAATACTTGGATACAACTGGGAACAGATTTAGTTTTCTCTCTATACTGCCTTCTTTGGTCACTTTCAATTATAAGATTAGTGTCATTCTGAAAAAGTGTTGTTCATATAAAATCAAACCTTTGATCTCATAACCAGTGCATCCTCAGTAGCTCAAGCCCTCAAGGAGAGGAAGACGTGTTCAATACTCTCCTTGTTCCACTCCTCTTCAGGCCACCATGGGAATGTTACAAATTAGAGGTGGGGTGTACTTGGGGTTGGAGAAATGGAGAAATGGAGAAGTCTCATGTATCCTATGCTAGTGGTATATCCTGCACTATTGGAATCTGGCCCCTGGTGCTCTTATCAAGGCAGCAGTTGCTATTTCATAAGGTGCATTTGTGTGTTCTTTAGCAGCACACTCCAGCGTGTGAAGTGTGAGTCTCCAGTCAAATTCTCAGCCTCCATTCCTGGAAAGACATCCATATCATTTTTTCAAGGAGGTGGGAAACCATCAATGAGGTGAACTGATGCAACAGTCACAGCAATGGGCTCAAACCTACCAACGATCATGAACATGAAGGCGCATAGGACTGGTCAGCATTTCGTTTTGTTGTATCTGGGTTCCATGAGTTGGAACTGACCTGACAGCTACTAACAGTAACAATAATTTCCTTCCCAGCAGGTAGCCCTTGAAATAGGGTCTCATTAAGATGGTTCAACATCAGGTGACTTAAGCAATGACTACTTGGCCCTCAAGAAATACCAGATAGTCCTGAACTGTCAGACAGTGAAGAGCAGCTTGCCAACTGGTGCCTCTTCCCTGACCTTGGTAGTCTCTGAGAGTGGTCTTCTTCTGGAGTTAGAAGCACCCTCAACTTTTTTCCACAGTGAATGGCAGAAGATACTACAGCACTCTCTACTCCTATGAATCCATTTACTTGA